ATCGCTGTTGTCTTACATTTTTCTATTTGCCCATGTGTCATTCCCTTTAAAAGTTGCCTTGACTTTTTATCCACTTGCACCTTTCTATTACCAAGTTTCCTTCCAGTTCTTCAGGAAAAATCAAAATATCTTTCTAGTTATTACATCCTAAATATCTTGTCTGGTCAAACCTTTTGTAAAAGTAGAAGAGCAGGAAAATGTGGTTCCTCAGAAAATAAACACAGAATTTGCATATGATCCAGCAATACCATTTCTGGTATAATCTCTGAAGAATTGGAAGCAGGGTCTTGAAGAAATATTTGTATACCATGTTCATAGTAGTATTATTCACAATCACTAAAATGTGAAACAACCCAAGCAACTCTCAGCAGATGAATGGATAAACAACATTTGGTCTATACATGCAATAAAATATTATTCAGCCTTAAAAAGGAAGGAAATTCTGACACATGCTACAATGTTAATGAACCTCGAGGACATTAAGTGAAAGAAGCCAATCACAAAAGGACAAATACTGTATGATTCCACTTATGTGAGGTGCCTAAGAGTAGCCAGATTCATAGAGACAGAAAATAGAATGGTGGTTGTTAAGGACTGGGGGGAGGGCAGAATTAGGAGCCATTATTTAATGGCTACAGAGCTTCAGTTTGGGATGAGGAAAAGAGTTCTGGAGATGGGTGGGACAACAATGTGATTGTCCTTAACAACGCAGAACAGTGCACTTAAAAATGGTCAAGATGGTAAATTTTACATTCAGTATATTTTACAATTAAAAAAAAAGAGGAGTGCAGAGGAGGGTTCCTCAAACCTGGTAACAAAGACTTTGGGGGATTTATTCCTATTTGCTGTGGGTGGTTACTTTTCTTAGAGGACTGGGCTTTCTTGATTGACAGCTAAGTTGGACAGGACTCAGTGACTCATCATTTGCTTTCTGCACATTTGTTCCCAGAATTCAGTTGGTTATAATGATATTAATGAACTTCCGGGCATATACATCATATTATAATGATGGTATAATAAGGCTCAGGTGAGTTTAAGGTTGTTGGGGTCTTCATTACACAGGTGCAAGTGACTGGCTGAAACTAGTACCCAATTTTCCGCTTGTTTCCTTGTATGAGTTACTTTTACCCAAAAAAAATGCCTTTTGGCTTGCTTAATTGTGGACAGACTGGAGCAGACCCTTTCTAGAATAGGATGACCTCAGCGTCTTAGCAAGTGGACCCGAAACCCCCTAACTTTCCTGCCTAACCTTTTTCTGAACCACCTTTTTATTAG